AAGATTGCAATTGTGAAAAAAAAATACCCCAAAATCAAACAAACATATTGACAACCTGGGGGGGGGGGGGGTTCAGCCCCTGGAGGCCCCCCCCCCCCATGCCACTGATAATTAGTTATCCCACGAGTGCGCTTTGAATTGAGGCCTCCCCCTCCCCCCCACCCCGGCCGGGGGTGCCACTGATAATTAGTTATCCTACGAGCGTGCTTGGAATATGAAACAATGCAGTGATGAATGAGTAAGGTAACTTTGCGAAATTGAGTATTATCTTCAATCAACCTTGAATCCTACCCCCTGATTAGTCCATCTATAGCAACAACAGTGTGATTTGATATAATATTGCACAGCTATATTGCACCCCAGATATCGAATTTACATGTACATTTTTATTTGCATTTTTATTTGCATCTTTTTATTTGCTGCTGAACGGTCCGATACACTATACACCTACATCCATCACCACGTACAATGTACGCATTCGGCGTCAAGTTCGCTTGAAGATAAATTCGTTATGGCTCGTGGAACATGGAATAATGTAGTGCGTCAGGTGGTCAGGTGGCATATGGGTGACAGCAGCATTGCAATGTTTCATATTCCAATATTCCAAGCGCGCTCGTGGGATAACTAATGATCAGTGGCACGGGGGGGGGGGCTCGAGGGACTTGAACCCACCTCCTCCAAGGTTGTCAATTTGTTTGTTTGATTTTGGGGTAATTTTTTTCACAATTGCAATCTTCTACAGAAATTTGAAAACAAAAAGCTGTGAGCCCCCCCCCCAAAAAAAGCCAAATCCTGGGTGCGCGACTGCTGATAATTTATATTATGAGTCAGGTTAGACCTCATCAGCACTAAACATGAGAAATTCTTATTATTTTAATACCAAATTCGCATATATTCGATGAAAATCGACATGGTTTTGGTATATTTCTACCAAAAGGGTGGTATTTTACTCTAAAAATTTCCGTTTTTTGTGGTTTCTGCCCTGATCACATGGTAGGTCGGATCGGGCTAAAAATTGGTGTGCATTCATTGCTCATCAGGACCTACAAGCACAGCAATTTTTATTAAAATCGGAAGACATGAGGTAAAAAAGTGCGTTGGTCTGACATGGAATGACCCACATGCATGTTCATAGCGTCCCTGACGGTGTATCGCCTTTTGTTCCTCCATTTTGTTTGTTGCCATGTGCATATGGATCAGCTATTTTGTGGAACAATAAGGGCGTGCATTGAATGTCCCGTCCCGATTATCGACCTTTAGACCCATATCGCGTTATGTATGCTTTTTGTGGCACAATGATTACAATTACACGTCATACATTGATTCATTCATGAATATCTGAATTTCTCATATCTAAATAAAAAAAATAAAATCATTCAAATAAAAGCCAATCTTTCTTTACAATTTTTCAGTGTTATCATATACAAAATGTAGCAATATATATTGCTTAAACAGCACCATGACACTGCAGTGTAGTTCATCACACAGCAGTGATGTAGTGCCTTGATGCTGGGCCTTGGCCTTAAGGTTGCCTTAAGGCTGGATTTTGGGCCTTGGCCTTGGCCTCGAGGCTTGAGGGCAAAAGCCTTGGCCTTGCCTTGGCCTTGAGGGTTCAGGGCCTTGCAATTTTGAGTCAAGGCTCTTCAAGGCCCATAGATTTTTGCATTTTCCAGATAAATCTGTTCGAAATTTTGCTGTTACCATTTTAATCGTATTACCATGGAGGAGGGAAGCACCCTATAGATCACATTTTGTTACCATTGTAGTAGATTTGCTGCAAAAATATTCCGTACACTTGTGGGGCTAATGAGATGATCACTTTAATTGCATATAACTATTGATCTGATTGGTTGTATATGTCTCCCTGATAAGTGCTAATGATTTGCATGTATCTGTTTTAGATAATGCTGATATTTCTGACCATGTTGGGCCAGCAAATAAAAATTTCCCAAGGGTTTACAATTTCTTATATCCCCCTCTTGTTACACTTGGGAGAATTGTGTGTCAATATAGAAGTAAATCATTATTTTGTTTAGTTAAACCATATTGAAGACCTGAACTTATACTTTAATAGATACAGTGCAGTCATAAAACGGTGTAGGCCTATGCGAGCATGTTGATTGCAATTAAATAAATGTTGTTTTTCGTAACAAGCAATTCGTGATCATAAGGGCGGATCCAGGGGGGGGGCCAAAAGGGGCCATGCCCCCCCCCCAAAAAAAACCCCGAAACCATTTCTTTTTATGTGACGTCGTAATAAAGGTAGGCAATGAGTACACCACCATCTTTTCCTCAAAAAACATCGGTTAAAATGGTCAGAAATTGCCTCAAATCGCACCACAGAGCATCTCGAATACAAATTTTTTTTCGGGGCCCTTAAGCGGGCCCCGAAGCCCAAGCCGTAATTTTTTGACCCACTTTTTTTTGTGTGGGGGGGGGACCAAAATTTCTTTGCCCCCCCCCCCAAATTGTGTTCTGGATCCGCCCTTACGTGATGATGTGTCACTCATGTGAGAATATAATTAGTTCATTATCAGTGGTCATTTCATAAAACAGGGCCTTGGCCTTGGCCTTGGCCTTGAGGGTTAAGCCTTGGCCTTGGCCTCGAGGCTTGAGGGTCAAAGCCTTGGCCTTGAGGGTCGAAGCCTTGGCCTTGGCCTTGAGGGTCAAAGCCTTTGCTCCAACACTGTCACACAGTTTATTTTCCAAGTCTGTTTACAATTTAAATTCGTTTTAAATAAAAACAATTCAAAGGTTCCCAAGATGATGAAATTGGCAGTCCACATTTTTGTGCACAAGTAATGGGCTCTGTGTTGTTTTAAAGCAGAGTTTCTCAAAAAAATCTAGTTTTGGATCTGAACTCTTCTTGTATTCAAATGAATGGTCCATCAGCTAGCCTATATCGGATTGTAAACTGTGCATAGATTTGCTACTATATTGGTGTTTTTTTTTCCAATCTAATTACCTCACAGCTTTTCTGTTTACTTCTTTGAAGAAAAAAAATCGTCAGAGTAATGAGTCGAATTTTTTTCATTTATTTTAACACTTATTTTATACAAAATTCCCTAGAACGAAACATTAAATGGTCCATGAATTGTTTTTCGGAAGAAAATGTATTGTAAAACTTTCTACTCCTCTGAAAATGTATGAAAACTATTTGACATCCATTTTTGGTTAATTTTATTGAAAACAGCACTTCTTTAGACATTTTTTTTTTTTAAAGTCCATGCTTTTCTGGACAACTGGGGGCGCTGTTCATGTGATGTCATTTCAGTGAGACACTTTTCAATTTAGGCGTTTTCTGTTCAAATAATGAACCCAAAATTTGCTCATTGAAATCGTTGGTGAGGAAATTTGGCTCACTGGCCTACTGACATGTACTGACACAATATTGAATCACCAAAGATCAAACATTTACGACAGTAAAATATCTAAAAATCTGGCAACTTTTGTGCTGAAATAACGGTAACAGGTTAATGCTTAAAACGAAATCACACGTTTGCTCATGAATATGGAAATTCACATTAGCATAAGAACCCCAAATGCACCAAAACACCCTGGAACATGGCAAACTAAATTGAAAAAAAGTGTTAAATTAATCGAACGATGCTCATTAATACAGTGCATTTAATAATGGTTTGTCATTCATGCATGTACATTTACGAAATCCTTGTACATGTTGTGGTTCACTTGTGAAATTCTGGAATTTGTTAAAAGGGGTTTCATAGTAAAGTAACAGTGCCATAAGGGTTTATTAACAAAGAAGTTCGAATTAAGTTCGGTGAAACTCCTTGGGGTCAGGTAGGTCGGGGAAACATTTTATATTGCGTGGGGCCTTCCACGTACACTACAGAAGCAGATGGCTTCCAACACCGTCCCTGCCCTGTTTGCACTCATTTCTTGTTCTTGAATTTGTTTTGCACTTTTCAAAATAATGAACCAAAAAGGAATAGCCAAATAGTTTTCATACATTTAAGGGGAAAAGAAAGTTGCACAGTTATGTTCCCAAGAAAAAATCATGTCATGTATCCTTTATGGGTTCACGAGTCACAAACAGAAACAAGAAACTACCGCTCTTGGGCAAATACATTACTTTCTGGGTTTAGGAGTCACCTATTTTAATATTCATTTGAACGTAATATAATTATTGAAACATTTATAAATAATTTTTAATCAGTTGGTCAGTCAGTAACTTAATTCATTTAACCATTTGCCCTGACCAACTGATTCACTTTCGATATGGTAATAACCAATGATCTGTTTAACATGAATAGTTTTAACTTTTCACCTTTTATTAATATAATGTACTTGTAGTACCGTACTCTTTCAATTAGCCATACATGAAAGTATGTTATTTGGAAATACTTCTGTCCATCTCTCTCTTAAAATTGAATGTTTATTTATTCAAGACCCGTTGAACAGTTTACCAACAAGTATCTCATTACTCTTGCAGTTTTCAGGGGGCAATTCCGCCTAAAATTAATTGGAACCTTCATAAATCGACTTTCATGTTGTACATACAAAATTAACCGGCGGAGGAAAATGAACGCTTGTTTGTGCCGTGCTCGACTTCTCAGTAGGGCAGTCGATACAAAAGTGAAGCACATGTTGCACCCGCCCCTTGAGCTCAGACGTTTATTGTTATAGACGCAGTGGACTGCAAAACCCATCATAAAGACCCGTTTGCCTCTGGCGTATTTTACAAAAGACTGTTACGCAATCTCCCAGTCATCTCAGTTAAACCCTTGCAGCCGGGAGAGTACAATCGTAAGACCAAGGAATTTATGCAGATAATTTATCTTCTTTAAGATATATGACGGTGTTCCCTAGGTGATTAATACTAGGTTTAGATTAATCTTTTCTTTAATAATGACAGCACTGCGCAAAGTTCGTTTTAACTTGTCTTTATGTCTTCAACTTGTCTTCAATTTTCACCTGTTTAGGTGTTATTCTTGTAAATGTTATTGTTTTTTTTGTATCATTCTTGTAATTCATTCAATTGAATCCAAATAAAGGTGTTTTGTAAATTTTATGTATCCAGGTCCCATCTTCAGTTCGAACCTGGATACAACCTCCCCCGTTAGGGGTGGAGCCACGCCCTGCGGTAACCCCACCCAATTTGACAAACCCGACCGTGGCCGCCAACTCGTTTTTCTACATCAAGGATCCCAAGCCTTCTTACAACACATGCGACGTGCTGGAACTCTACATTGAAGTTCGCGACGGACAGAACTTGACGAAAAAGATGGGTGGTGATCTGCTGTGGCCCGTTATTCGGACGGATGGATTTCATGCGAGCGCACCGTACGATGAGCTGATTGACCACGGGAACGGGAGCTACAGCGCTCGGTTGACGCTCTCATGGGCCGGGGTGGTCGAGCCCCGCGTACCGTTCATTCACAGCGCCGAGTACGTGGCAGCTTTACAGGGAGTCATTCAACGACAGCCCGTGCGCTTCGGCTATGTTTCTAAGTTCATTGCCAACGGCACGTCGGAGTACACACCATGTCACATGGTCAAAGAGATGCCGTTTATTGCCACTAAACCAGAAGCGAGTTTTTCCTACCTGTCACCAACCGAAGTCTGTGACTATTCCGATGTCAAAGCAGGGACCAATTGGTACTGCCTGAAGCCCAAGACCCTGCCCTGCTCAGCCATTTCTCTCCACAGGGGTGACTGGAAGGCGTCAGATGAATTTTTTAACCAAAGCATGACCGAAGAGGAAAAGATAGCGTGGAAAGCGTATGTTTAAAATGTATACTTCCGAATTCCCTTATCTTAAAACCTATGGCCACTAAAAGAATACTGAAAAGGATCACGAATGAAATTTTCTTAGGAACGTTATTTGGTGCAACTTTTTACTCATCTCAAAATAATGTATGCAAACTATTTAACATCCCTTTTTGGTTGATCTTATTGAAAAGTGCACTTCCTTACACTTGTAACATTTTTAAAGTTTTTCCTGACAAATGAGGGCGTTGTTGCTGTGACGTCATTTAAGGAAGACACTGGTTCAGAACCCAAGCAATTACACATTGAATACTTTAGCGAGAGAAAACTTTGCTCATAGGCCTACTGTCATGTACTGAACCAAAAACATTTTCCCCACCCCAAGGAAAAAGAATGTATGACAGCAAAACATCTAAAAATTCTGGCAAATGTTGGCGCTGAAATAGTTGCAACAATGAGGTTCCTGCCTGATATGACATCAAACTTTTGCTCATGAATATGTAAATTTGTATAAGCATTAAACCAAACATGACTTTAAAATGTCACCAACATGACATAAAAATGGCAAAATAAAAAATTAAAATATGGGACACAAAACTTCATTTACAAGGACTGCATTAAAAAAAATAATAAGCAGGGTGACCCCCAAAATATGCAACCTTGAAACATTTGCCCTTTTTCAGAAACGTGCTCTGTGAATTGTTTATGTTTTTCTGGATATCAGATTAAAGATGACAGTTCATTCTTTCAAATACTGAAGAAAAAAATCATGCCAATTATGTAGCACAACTCCTCTTTGGTCCATTCCAATGGCATTACCACAGTTAAGAGATTTACACTGTACCTATTTGTGCACGAAACGCATGAAGCGCATTGTGACCTAATCCTTACAAACAACCAAGGGCGGATCCAGGGGGGGGGGGGCCAAAAGGGGCCATGCCCCCCCCCCCAAAAAAAAAAAAATACGAAACCAATTTTTTTTTTTTTTTTTTGTGACATCGCAATAAAGGCAGGCAATGAGTACACCACCATCTTTTCCTCAAAAAAAAATTGGTTAAAGTGGTCAGAAATTGCCTCAGATCGCACCACAGAGCATCTAGAATCCAATTTTTTTTCGGGGCCCTTAAGCGGGCCCCGAACCCCACGCCGTAATTTTTTTGACCCGCTTTTTTTGGGGGGGGGGACCAAATTTTTTTTTGGCCCCCCAAAAAATTGTGTTCTGGATCCGCCCTTGCAAGCAACACGGCACATTATGTCAAGAGTACAAAGAAATTTGATGAAAATACCTTTTATTTTTCAGCTGAACGGGTATCTTATCTTTTTAAGTCGTATACGAAACCTTTTCAGCATCATAAATATGTCGAAATATTAAAGAAATTGCACAAATGAAAGCTGTTTGTAGCACCATAAAAGGATGAACAATCTTTTCTTCAGTTACATTTTATTAGCAACCCATTGCGCTGTTTACATGAGTGTTTTAGTATTTGAAAGAAAAACTCTCAGCTTTAATCTGATCATTATCGAAAACATAAAAATGCATGGATCACGTTTTTGAAAAGGGCAAATGGTTCAGGGTTGCTTCGGAGGGTCCCCCCCCCCCCTCCTAATCAACCCTGAAACATTTGCTTTTTTCAAAAACGTTGACTCTGTACATGAACCCTTTAAAAAATGAACGTTCCTAATGTTAAGGGTGCTTACGCAGCTGGCGCACCAGTCTGGGCACGGGACTGCTAGTTCTAATTTTAGGCGTGAAATCAATATTATGCAACTATTCAGAGTGATTTATTTAATTTCAAATTTTCTTTCCTGAAGGGAAATTTATTTTAAAAAAAAATGACCTCGTCTTACTTTAATTTAACTTTAAAGGGAATATACAACACTACCAAATTATCACGAAACACCTTACTAGACTGTTGGTGAATGACAGTCTAAAGCATCCTGTAAAATCGTGGCACCTGTTGTGCTGTCATTTTCAAGAAAAGTGGTATTTTTGACACAGTCGACACTTGTTCCACAAAGCTTCATTTGCAAGGACTGCATAAAAAAAAATTAGCAGGGTGACCCCCAAAAAATGCAAACTTGAAACATTTGCCCTTTTTCAGAAACGTGCTCTGTGAATTGTTTTTGTTTTTGGATATCAGATTAAAGATGAGAGTTCTTTCTTTCAAATACTGAGAAAAAAATCATGAAAACAGCACATTGGGTTGCTGAGAAAATGCCATTGATGTAGCACAACTCCTCTTTGGTCCATTCCAATGGCATTACCACAGTTAAGAGATTTACACTGTACCTATTTGTGCACGAAACGCATCAAGCGCATTGTGACCTAATCCTTACAAACAACACGGCATATTATGTCAAGAGTACAAATTAATGTGATGAAAATACCTTTTATTTTCCAGCTGAACGGCTATCTTATCTTTTTAAGTCGTATACGAAACCTTTTCAGCATCATAAATATGTCGAAATATTAAAGAAATTGCACAAATGAAAGCTGTTTGTAGCACCATGCAAGGATGAAAAATCTTTTCTTCAGTTACATTTTATTAGCAACCCAATGCGCTGTTAACATGAGTGTTTTAGTATTTGAAAGAAAAAACTCTCAGCTTTAATCTGATCATTATCGAAAACATAAAAATGCATGGATCACGTTTTTAAAAAAGGCAAATGGTTCAGGGTTGCTTGAGAGGGTCCCCCACCCTCCTAAGCAACCCTGAAACATTAGCCTTTTTCAAAAACGTTTACTCTGTACATGAACCCTTTAAAAAATGAACGTTCCTAATGTTAAGGGTGCTTATGCAGCTGGCGCACCAGTCTGGGCACGGGCCTGCTAGTTCTAATTTTAGGCGTGAAATCAATATTATGCAACTATTCAGAGTGATTTATTTAATTTCAAATTTTCTTTCCTGAAGGGAAATTTATTTTAAAAAAAAATGACCTCGTCTTACTTTAATTTAACTTTAAAGGGAATATACAACACTACCAAATTATCACGAAACACCTTACTAGACTGTTAGTGAATGACAGTCTAAAGCATCCTGTAGAATCATGGCACCTGGTGTGCTGTCATTTTCAAGAAAAGTGGTATTTTTGACACAGTCGAGACTTGTGTCACAAAGCTTCATTAACAAGGACTGCATTAAAAAAAATTAGCAGGGTGACCCCCAAAAAATGCAACCTTGAAACATTTGCCCTTTTTCAGAAACGTGCTCTGTGAATTGTTTATGTTTTTGGATATCAGATTAAAGATGAGAGTTCTTTCTTTCAAATAATTTTTATAAATCATGAACACAGCACATTGGGTTGCTGAGAAAATGCCATTGATGTAGCACAACTCCTCTTTGGTCCATTCCAATGGCATTACCACAGTTAAGAGATTTACACTGTACCTATTTGTGCACGAAACGCATGAAGCGCATTGTGACCTAATCCTTACAAACAACACGGCACATTATGTCAAGAGTACAAAGGATTTTGATGAAAATACCTTTTATTTTCCAGCTGAACGGCTATCTTATCTTTTTAAGTCGTATACGAAACCTTTTCAGCATCATAAATATGTCGAAATATTAAAGAAATTGCACAAATGAAAGCTGTTTGTAGCACCATGAAAGGATGAAAAATCTTTTCTTCAGTTACATTTTATTAACAACCCAATGCGCTGTTTACATGAGTGTTTTAGTATTTGAAAGAAAAAACTCTCAGATATAATCTGATCATTATCGAAAACATAAAAAATGCATGGATCACGTTTTTAAAAAAGGCAAATGTTTCAGGGTTGCTTGGGAGGGTCTCCCCCCCCTCCTATTCAACCCATGAAACATGTTCCTTTTTCAAAAACGTTGACTCTGTACATGAACCCTTTAAGAAATGAACGTTCCTAATGCTAAGGGTGCTTACGCAGCTGGCGCACCAGCCTGGGCACGGGCCTGCTAGTTCTAATTTAAGGCGTGAAATCAATATTATGCAACTATTCAGAGTGATTTATTTAATTTCAAATTTTCTTTCCTGAAGGGAAATTTATTTTAAAAAAAATGACCTCGTCTTACTTTAATTTTATTTTTAAAGGGAATATACAACACTACCAAATTATCACGAAACACCTTACTAGACTGTTGGTGAATGACAGTCTAAAGCATCCTGTAAAATCGTGGCACCTGTTGTGCTGTCATTTTCAAGAAAAGTGGTATTTTTGACACAGTCGACACTTGTTCCACAAAGCTTCATTAACAAGGACTGCATTAAAAAAAATTAGCAGGGTGACCCCCAAAAATGCAACCTTGAAACATTTGCCCTTTTTCAGAAACGTGCTCTGTGAATTGTTTATGTTTTTGGATATCAGATTAAAGATGAGAGTTCTTTCTTTCAAATAATTAAAAAAAAACATGAAAACAGCACCTTGGGTTGCTGAGAAAATGCCATTGATGTAGCACAACTCCTCTTTGGTCCATTCCAATGGCATTACCACAGTTAAGAGATTTACACTGTACCTATTTGTGCACGAAACGCATGAAGCGCATTGTGACCTAATCCTTACAAACAACACGGCACATTATGTCAAGAGTACAAAGGAATTTGATGAAAATACCTTTTGTTTTCCAGCTGAACGGGTATCTTATCTTTTTAAGTCGTATACGAAACCTTTTCAGCATCATAAATATGTCGAAATATTAAAGAAATTGCACAAATGAAAGCTGTTTGTAGCACCATGCAAGGATGAAAAATCTTTTCTTCAGTTACATTTTATTAACAACCCAATGCGCTGTTTACATGAGTGTTTTAGTATTTGAAAGAAAAAACTCTCAGCTTTAATCTGATCATTATCAAAAACATAAAAATGCATGGATCACGTTTTTGAAAAAGGCAAATGTTTCAGGGTTGCTTGGGAGGGGGGGGGGGTTAACCCTATACATAGACCCTTTAAAAAAATGAACGTTTCTAATGTTAAGGGTGCTTACGCAGCTGGCGCACCAGCCTGGGCAAGGGCCTGCTAGCTCTAATTTTAGGCGTGAAATCAATATTATGCAACTATTCAGAGTGATTTATTTAATTTCAAATTTTCTTTCCTGAAGGGAAATTTATTTTTAAAAAAATGACCTCGTCTTACTTTAATTTAACTATAAAGGGAATATACAACACTACCAAATTATCACGAAACACCTTACTAGACTGTTAGTGAATGACAGTCTAAAGCATCCTGTAAAATCATGGCACCTGGTGTGCTGTCATTTTCAAGAAAAGTGGTATTTTGGAAACCATTTTCCAACGCTGGTCGGTCGACCAGCCTTGGAAAAAACTGGCATTATTCAATTACTGCTCCCAATTTATCATATGTAGTTAGTTCGCACTTTCTTTGCAATCGATTACGTACCTTTGAACGGGTAGCGATTTTGTTTCCATACCACATGCTCGCTATTATAATTATATAGAATTATGCTGGAGGGCCATATATATGCAATATTATAATGTTTAAAACTACCACATCGATCGAGTCACTGCTGTAGTTTCATGGATACTACATTGGATTACAAATCTGATGGTGTAAGTTCGATTCCCATTGGATGCTTTTTTCTAAATTTCTTCTTCTTTACTTCTTTTTCTCTCTCTAAAAGGTTTGTTAGTCATTTGGAACATTTTTATTTTACCAATATGTGGTTTGGAGGATTTTTTTTTTCAAGGGAAAATAAAGTCCGAGAACCTGACTTGCAACTCAACGTACTTCGAAATACGCATAACGAATGTATGTGTACGGACAAAAATATCGCCGGCCACAAGCCAGCTAGACTGGTTCCATGACTTTACAGTTCCCCGACGTCTATAAATTGCTCCGTTTCAAGTTAAGTGGGTCAGGGAACCAGACTACAAGAAAATGATATTTTTTCTTAATTTTCCAGCATCTACGAACCCGAAACGTCAAACAAGTCAGTAACAATATTTGCTATAAAATACTAGACCCCAAACCCATCAATTTTTGAAAATTCTGAAAAGGTTGTACATGTGTATATTCCCTTTAATTTTAGTGGGCATTAACAGTCATGTACGAAACTCATTGTCTTCACAGAGGCATCAAAGACTTTGCATACCTGTCGAATGCCGGCCCTGTTTCGGTTTCGGTGGTCCAAGGTATGTTTGCCTGAACTTTGTTAACTTTATTAACATAGGTGCGAATCCCCGAGGTGTGCGACTGTGTGTCTTTGCTTGTAGACCGGGAGCTAGGTGAAGTTTAATTAACAATTGCCCTAGGTCGGATGGGGGTCAGGGGACCAATGTCAAATGTCCTGAATTTCGAGTTTATTTGACGTGTCGGGCACAAGTGCCGTTTTTTTGGATTAAGTGTTGTGATTGACCCCATGATGCCAAAAATGCTACTTAAGAATGGAAAAAAAATCGGACAAAGTTACTTAAGAATGATTTAAATATTGCATTTATATATATATATTATATATATTTCATGTACTGTTTACTGTGTACACGTATATGGAGCTGCTTATGCCCCTTATTTTTGCCAAAACCGTGCCCAAATTTGTGATAAGAGCATGAAATTCGGCGTACAGAGCCCAAACGGTCTGAGAAACATTTTAAGAGGTGAACCCACCTTCAATCTTGCTAATTTGGGGGCGGAGCTTGATTTAAAAAGGGGGATGAAAGCAAAAAATTCAGAAGACCTGTCTTAAACATTTATTTTCCTTGCTTTTCAATTACTTGAAATAAACTTGGACATGACATGACATGAACATTATAGCATTTTACTGACGTCATATTTTCTGTGCAATTTGTGGGCATGGCCTAAATGTGTAAAGGGGTAACGTATACGAGTGGTTTGATCCAATTGTGACAAAAAGCGTGCATTTTCGTGGCAAAACTATGAAAATTGGCAGGCCTGGTTGAACTTAATAATTATGGGCTGAACATATATTTACAAGAGGGATCCACTTTGCAATTTACCCACTGTGGGGGCGGAGCTTTTTTTTTTAAATGGGAGCAAAACATTCTAGCAATTATCCAATTAAAACCTGTTTTTGACCAAAAGTCAAAAATGAGTCTTTTAAACTGGATTTTGTTGCTAACGCTCGTAAACACGACACGTGGGGATATTTTCTAAAACCACCTTCAACGTTTTCTCGCTTCAAAATTATACAAGTTCAGGCGAAAAACTTTCATAAAGTATTGGTTACCAGGAGGTCCCAAACTTAATTTGGGCATTGAATTTGTCGTTTATCGATATAAAAGTACTCTTTTAACTGAATGCAAATTTTCCAACGTGCATTTAAGGATGCTCTTTGAATCTTGATAGTTGTTTATGTGCGTGCATATACAGGGTGAATCAGAAAAGTGGAACCCAAACCCCATAAAATATATTTCATATTTAAACAAAATATGTATCACAAAAATAATAATAACTGGAAAGCCAATTTCGTCAGCTACTTTTAGATGAAAAAAAATACTGAAGTTGCTAATTATATATGAAATCTTTAAATCAATCTGAAATACCTTTGTCCGACTTTTTTTTCCCATTCTTAGGTAGCATTTTTTTGTATCATGGGGTCAATCACAACGCTTTAATCCGAAAACGGCACTTGTGCTAGGCATGTTAATTTAAACTCGAAATTTTGGACAGTTTGACATTGGTCCCCTGACCCCAATCCGACCTAGGACAACTTAAGAATGGCCATTTCAGAACTACCCGTTGATGGTTAATGGCCTGTAACAAACCTTTTGTTCTCAAATTGTTAATTAAACTTTATCTAGCTCCTGGTCAATAGTTAGTTTGTTTGTTTTCATCTCTGAATTTAGATTTGTACTATTAATTTGTGTGGCACCAAGTTCTACTCCCTCAAACAAAAATCTTCAGCTTTTTTTCTGAATTATGGCTCTGAGATTGTTTTTTTGGCAAGTTAAGTATGAAACCATTAAACGCTTTGCTGCAAATAAAAATTAATTCCTATGGACAGATCGAAAAAAAGGTTTTCCCAGGTATTTTTACACGTATATCACACAAATATCCCAGAAAGATACTTCAATTTCGTCTTTTGTTTTTGTGATCCGTGGACAGACGGCGGTTGTGTTTAAAATTTAGTGTATTGATTGATTCTTGGACTTAAAAAAAGCTTACGAAAAGGCTTTCAAATCCTAGATTTTGAAGGTGCTACACGCAGAAATTCACTAAAACAATAGTCCCGACATTTGAGTTTCGCTTTTTTTGACTCACCCTGTAGTTGACCCAAGGTTTTATCCAGTTTCTTGATCTATTTTTGAACGTATTCTCTCACCCTTTGTTATAATGCATTTAATTACTTCTCACGATGGTAAGTTGAGTTGATGACATGCGAGTATGGCGCTTCAACCCGAGAGTGTCAACAACAGCGATGTGCATGTAGTCGAAATGTTCTCCTTCGAAGGCATCTATGTGATACAATCACTATCCGCGCGTGATACCTTATTGTATCAGCCTCAATGAAGTAGAACATGGTCAGCCATTTTTTCATCTACCGAGAATGAGAAAAAGTGAAAGAAATAGTATCAACCTTCATAATTATGCTAGGAATTGCTAAACTACGTACTGTCTAAAACGCGCCAAAACAAATAACAAAAAACGAATTTGCTTTTTCAATACAACACAAATCGCAACATGAGACGAATTCTCGAGATAAGGTCGAATCTGAATGCTCCAATTTTGAATTGTACTACACCTTAACTGAGATCCAGTGGTGGTAAGTTGAAATTGAAATCGGGAATTGAGCTCGACGATGTTGGGGAACAAAATTAAAAGGATAATGCGTGGCTTAAGTTTTAAAAAAAAATGACTGGGAAAACATATATTTATTCTCCACTTTTCAATTATTTTAATTCAGCTCCAGAAAACGCCGCCAGCAGTTGTCTGATGTTACCTGAATGCAAACCAGGACTTCCTCCGAAACCACCATCGCTAGCTGCTGGATTTTACTACAAAGACTCGTGGAAGTCCAACGTATGCCGTGAGAGGTCGTTCGAGCTGCCGGAGATTTTGGAATGTCTACGGAACAAGAGGCTTTATTTTTACGGCGACTCCACGCTGAGGCAATGGATGCTGTTTCTGGCTCGCAGTCTGGGAAAAACCATGAAGCTACAACGGGCACGCAGAAAGTCAGCGAAGATCATCGGCCCGCTGTACGCCATCGACAAGGTGCACAACATCACGCTCACGTTCCGACATCACGACTTTCCCATCCGTAACAATTGGCTCAACTTTCACGACGTGAAGTTCACGGTGAACGAGCTAGACGCGCTGCCAGGCGGACCTAACACGGTTGTCTTGTTCACGTTTTGGGCGCACTTCACTACGAATAGCGTGGACTACTTCGCGAACAGGATGGGACACATCCAAGCGGCTGTTAAGAGGCTACAACAGCGAGGCCGCAGCCCTACTCCTGTCTTCTTCAAGTCAGCGAATACTAGAGCCGATGGGTCAAAGGGGCTTGCCTTGGCCGATTCATTTATACTTATATTAGATGAGATTATGCGAACAATATTTAGTGATATGCCAAATGTGACTATCATAGACGCCTGGGGCATGACATTGAGTCATAGGACAGGATACAGACTGCATCCTGTAGATTTGGTTCTACGAGAAGAAATTAAGATGTTCCTGAACTTTCTGTGCCAACAACCAAGCCAGCCAGCCAAACAGACAGCCAGCCATTCAACCAGCAAACAATCCAACCAGCCAGCAAACCAACCAACCAAACAACCAACCAGAAATCCGGCCAGCAAACAAACCACCCAGCTAGCAAACAAAGAACCAAACAGTCAGACAATAAGCCAGCCGTTCAGCCAGCAAACCAGCCACCCAACCAGTCAGCAAGCCATACAGCCAGCCAGACAGTCGTCAACCAGCCAACAAGCCGGCCATCCAGCAAACCAGTCAATCAACCAACCCGCAAAACAGCCGGCCAGCCAGCCATCGATCCACCTTACCAACCAACCAGCCAGACAGCCGTCCAGCCAGGCACCCAGCAAGTCAACCAGCCAGTCAGCCAGTAAAACAACCAGCCATTCAGCCAACCAGCCTACCAGCCAGCCAGCCAACAAGCCAACCTTTCAGCGCGTCAGTCGGTCAACCAGCCAGCCGCCAAAAAGCCAGTCCGGCTTGCCAGCCTCTCAACCCGTCCAACGTGGCGGCCTGTCGGCCAACAAGCCAAGCAGTCGGCCACCCATCCAGCCGGAGCCGCGGCGAGCCAGCCTAGCAACCAGCCAGCCAAACAGCTAGCCAACTAGCCAGCAACTGGCCGGCCATCCAGCCAGCCAGCCAGCCAAGCAGCGCATGAAACTGGTAGATACTCTCGATTTTATTAGGATTAAAACTCAGTGTGGCATTGTGTGACATTGTTTCTTTATTTTTCGTAGAATAAAAGCGCTTATTTAACTATTAAATTATGCAGTTAACCATTTATTGTTGCTCCCTGCTAAACTCCCGATCTTAGTCGTTTACCGTCTGCAGTGTCGTTATTTATTTTGATTTTGGTTTAAGTAAGAACAAGAACTCCCTTGACGTGAAGCCAGAGGACACCTTTTGAATGTTGACGCCTTCATGCAGGCTTTTTAATGTACCTTGTTTATTTTGGTTATCATCGTTTACTTGTTTGTTCATTGCTTGAACTTTTGACACCCTTGACGTAGTACGTGTACCGTGAATTCGAGGCCTGTGTATATTGATACAATGTGCACAGTAATAAGGCCAATGTTCGCTCATATTCCCGCCCTGCAAACAGGGCGCTGGGACACGCTGCACTGATGAGCTTCATATAATCTTGTGAAGGAAGTGGCCATATGGGGATGGCATTCTAGGTAACTTATCATGACCGATGTATAAAGCACCCGGCTGCAGCTGTTTAAGACCGCAGTTTGCCAGTGTGCGCAAATGCTATCCGGACATTCTATACCGGATGTGATTTCTGGTTCATTGCGGACCATGTGGACACATTTTGAGCGTCGCTTTATATGCAATTTAATTCAAAACAGAGCCTGAGCAAGTGACGAAAATTTAAAATGATTTTTAAAACAGATTCCTACATTATAACACTTTCCAACGAAAAAAAAAAGCATTTATGAATGGGAATAAAAGAGTGATGACTCGTTCTTCACGGCCGTTTCAAACCTTGCAGGGTCGTGGCCGTGATGACTTGTAGGTCACAAGTCACGCGAAATCTATCCAATCAGAGCGTAAATTCATCAGCGTGCCCCAGCGTCCTGTTTGCGGGGCTGGGTGTACGAGCGAACGGCCCAGGATGAAAGAGAGCAAGTCACAGCCTTTGTTTGTAGGGCAAGAGTACAACACTGATAAACAGAACATTTATATCTTGACAGATTCCGATTGGGTTGAAACTTATGTGACACTCGGAAAGTGAGGTCGAATAAAAGTAAGAGGAGAAGGACTTCTGCAATTTTCTTTGTGATTTGATTCTGTGTATCGAAAGAGATGAGATAAGTGAACTCGTCTCTGACGAAGTGGATTGTGAATTAACATAGCATTTAAATTATTCAACATCAATACAAGAGAACATACAGGGACAATGACCTCAACAATCACGTCAATAACTATAAAATGGCGGACAACATCTTTGACATTTGTCTCCAAGAAATAAAATTCAATATATAAAGGAAATGCTTTAAATCTCTCTCAATCACCTTATCAAAGCTTGCATATGTCCTAAAGGAAATAAAATAATTAACTCGAAGAATCACGTTTGCAAGGAAATAAGATATTTGAAGCAAAATCCATTTCACGCCACCACCACATTATAGGGGGCGTTCTTAAGGATATAGATGTATACCAACATGTATACTCGCGCTTGCATCCACATTTCAGTGCTATTGAATACATTTGGGTTGTTGGGATGTTCGAACTGAAATACCTCAAAATCCGCATTTTATTTTTATCATCACGAAAAAGTGGGGGTGGGGCGGCTATTCAATACCCCTTTTTCCCTGGTCTGAAAGTGGTGGGGATATCCTCCCGGGATTAACGCCCATGCGCAGGAGCTTAACGTTGCGTCAGTTTGGAATTCGAATTCGCCATTAAACAAGTAGTTTGTGAAATGTAAGCGAAGGAATTTGAAACCGGTTTATGTAATTACTTGTTCGTCCTTGTTCTTCGTTTCTTTGTTCCAATTTGAAAATGCATAAAACTAACTGTTTCCCAGAAGATTTGGCTACAAAGCAGCAGCCACAAATTGACCATATTGATCGTTGTTTGCATGAAAAGAAAGCACGTTTCAGAAACGAAGCGTTGTTAAGATAAAACGAATTGAGGAAAGTGTTAGAGATATAAGAAAAACCAGATCGCAATTTTAAATCTAGAAGATAAAAGAGTAAAAGGTAACAATTTAAAAAAAAAAAAATGCGAACACGATTAAAGAAGAGGGCAAAGGATCTCCTAGTTTAAATGTTGCCTAATACGCTTATTCTTTATATGTCGATTTTCGTGTCATGATGTTTAATTTTCTCACATCACTACTTTAAAGTTTTACTTGGTTAGATTAAAAACAAATAACATTTCGCTTCAAATTGGTCATTATCAAGATGAATTTGAATGCTATTTTTGCGAAACTGGCCGAGAAAACCTATACTATAGGAGATAACCAAAGTATTTTGACCTGTTACGGAAGAAATGAGAACATGTATAATTTAACTTGTCTCTAACGAAGTGGATTGTAAATAAGTCGTCACCGCTGGTGGCGACGGACTAAATCAGTTCGGCGGATGGATAGTGGTGAAAAAAAGAGGAGATAAATTAGTTCGTTCTTTATGAATAAGACAATCAAAAAAAATAATGGGCGCGGTTATTCTTTTTTACTACATCTCATGAATATTCATGATCAAATTGGAGCGCGTAATTGGCCGATTCCGCCGCGCGTCCGGGAAGTAAAAATGATAGGCCGCCCAGGTGACGTCATCCCGGTGAGTATCCAGCTTAGTTTATTTTCTGATTGCACCAAAAAATCCCTCTGGAACCCGCCTCGTAGAACATGTAGTCTGTGGCATGAAATCTTTACGGAACCAGTCAGTCGAGGTAGTCCTTGTAACAATTGCCATAAAGACACATTAAAAAGTGTTGGCACCAGACTATTTCATTGAATAATGAAGAACTTGAATATTTTTATTTACTGAATAAAGATTCAATTTCTACGAAGGCCGTTATCGACAAGACAAGGCAGTGAGACCACTTAAACAGGCGCGTTTGTTATCTAGCCCCCCCCCCCCCAATAAATTCCGTAAAAAAATGCATTAGCAAAAAGAAGGATTGTGATGTAGGCCTACATGCGAACGGTCTCCCCCTAAAGAAATAGTCGTGACAAGGTGCATTTGTAGTTAATATAGTGTGAATGATTTTGGGATTTTATGGGCTTTCCCATTGAAAATATGGCGTCAGCCCCCCCCCCTTCCCCTCCCCCCCCCCCTTCCCCTCCCCCCCCCCCCCCCTCCCCCACCTATCGATTTTCCGAGGGTAACTGTCTGGAGAAAATAACCGGTCTACATTTCAGCACGTTTTCCTGAAAACAATTCTGGATCCATCCTGCTAGCCCTCCCCTCCCCCAAAAAAAACCCACAAAAAAAAAAAATATCGGTTCTACAACCGCGCCTGCATTTAAAAAGACAGTGAGGCTACTGAATATTTATTAGGTGTAGTAAAACAAATACGGCATAGTTTATTTTTGGAAAGTAGTGGGAATTACTGGTCCTTCGGTGTAGGTCAGCTTGACTACCTCCCTCCGCTTCGCCTCGGGAGGTAGTCAAGCTGACCTACACCTCGGGACCAGTAATTCCCACTACTTCCCCTCAAACCATGATGTTTTTGTATACTACCCGTGACACGTAGCATATAGGTAGACTGGGATGTGTTATAGGTACAAATTGAGGTGAAAGACATTCAGGAACTGCGCGCGTGCGTTCTACGTATAAACAATTAAATTACGTTTTAAATCATTCCGTCCTTTTTCCTTGAGTTGAGCGTTTATATATCGATCCAAGTGCGGGAAAGGAAAACCCTTCAGGTAGAAAATAGTTATTTAGGGTATAATACGTTTGGTTTAATAATGCTTTCCTCCATATTGTCTTGTTTATTTATTACATAATCTATTGTCTTGTTTGCAGATTTCAGTTTAACCCCTTACGCATTTTGATTCTTGAGAGAAATCAAATGTTGCCCCATGTTAATGAACAGAGCAAGGTTTACCTCTTACACTTTTTTTTAATTTTCCATAAAAATCACACCTTGCCCATTTTGGATGAAAAGAGCAAACTTGATATCTCTTCAGTGGCGTCACCGGATTTTCAGTCTGGGGGGGGGGGGGGCACAGGGGGCGCATCAGCATTTGATGGGGGGGGGGGCACTTAGGTGGATACGGATCGCCGTCCTGGGGGAGGGGTCTAAGGGGAGGGGGTGCCCCCCTCGCCTTTGGAAAATTTTCACATACGGAGGATGGGCTAGATGCAAAATGGTGCCACATTTGATGGTAAATTCGATCTGAAGATATCTCCAGAAATTGCTATTTTTGAGGTAATGATTTTAACAACGCGCAGAATTTTGCAGAGGATAGGGGGCACCAGCATTTGATGGGGGGCACTTAGGTGGATACGGATCGCCGTCCTGGGGGAGGGGTCTAAGGAGAGGCCGGGTACCCCCCTCCCCTTTGGAAAATTTTCGCATACGGAGGATGGGCTAGATGCAAAATGGTGCAACATATGATGCTAAATTCGATCTGAAGATATCTCCAGAAATTGCTATTTTTGAGGTAATGATTTTAACAACGCGCAGAATTTTGCAGAGGATAGGGGGGCACCAGCATTTGATGGGGGGGGGGGGCACTCGGGGGGCACTAGGTTTTCCAGGGGGGGGGGCACGTGCCCCTTGGCGACGCCACTGTATCTCTTGACATTCAACAGGCTTTTTATTTACAAATATAATACATTTGGTATTTCACGAGTTATTGGTCTAAACAACGAGTGGTTTGTTGCATTGAACGTTGAACGTTCACGGTTAAAACACTACTTCGTATTGTTTTGTTTTCAACGAGTTCTCATGAAATTATACTGTCGATCGTGATATATAATAAACAATTACTCCACGAAATATTGAGTCAATGAATTTAATATTTCTTGAGATATTGCCCGAACAACAAGTGTCTTCTTTTTACTCAATTAGTAAGGCATCCGTGTTGACGCTGCGCCCTCCATTCAAAAAAAGTAGCATTAAACCGGTTGGTAAATTTTTGTCTCCCAGCGAGAAAAGAAAGAGAGAAATAAGTTGTTTTGGAAAAAGTATTTTAACAAAGGAACGTCTTTGGAATTTCTTCGGTTATTGCACAAAAAGGAGCGCGCAATTTTTTTGCCATAACCGTTACTTTCATTCAGATTCTATTTTTTACGTTTAAAACACTAAATTGTTTATAAAATCTCCTTTTCTTTCTTGTTCCGATGTACTGATTTGTAAATTCTCATAAAATTAAATTTCCGAAAGTGACAAATCATCAAAAATTTGTGGACGAAGTTTAAGTATAATAAATTTAGTATATTACAAGTTATTGGTCTCAACAACCAGTGTTTTGTTGTATTGAACGCTGACTCATTCAGATTGTTGTTCACGGTTAATTACATTATAAGAACGATCCGTACTTGCAATTTGTTGCAAAAGAGGGCGCACTCGCCGCACTGTACCGCGCCGACTTATGTCCATTGCTATGTAAACACAGACACTATAACGACAAATACTTGAAATGAAAACTCGTGCAACATTTTGCCATGATATTTGACCCAAGAATCTTGAAGA